CTACGGCTGGGAGGCTGAGCCTGCCTGCGTGATGGCGTCGATGCCCGCTGCTGCTACCGTCCGAAAGCACCCGAGCCGCGTGGCGTGGCACGCCGTCGCGTTGAGCCTCCGCATGGCGCGCGCCGTGGGCGCCCTCTTCCCGCGTCGCAGGCGCGTCGCTCCCTCCACGCGGGAGCCCGTCTGCGCGTACTCATGCTGGATGATGTGGGGCTACGGCGGGTACCGCGGGCGGCGCGGGGCGCGCTGCTCGTCGGGCGGCGGATCCCGCGCCTCGACCTCAGCCACGCGGCCGGCAGCCCAAACGCCAAACCGCGCCGTCTGCCGGGCAGATGCAACCAGCAGCTCAAGTTCCAGCCGTCGCTGTCAGGCGACCGGAGCTCGGCGATCGCGAACGCGGCGAAGACGGCGGCCCAGAAGTTGCCAGGCCAGCGCGTGCCATCCAGTCCGCGCTCCACCGCCTCCTCCAGCGATAGATGTGACGGCACCCAGGCGAGCTCGGGCGGACGGCAGGAGCCGCGTGGCCGCGCTGCTACGACATTCCGTATCTTGCGCCCTGTCAGCGTGGGCCCCACTAGCTCGATCATGGGTCTCACTCCACGCATTGCCCTCCTTGGCGAGTGACAGGTGGTTGGGCGCGATCCTGGCGACTCCTGGCGTTGGATGGCCTGCAACGCGGCGTAGCGTGCTGCGCGCGGCACGGTGCACACTGGGCCTGGCATGATGCCATGCCGCGCCCTGGTGGGGTAGCCATCGTCGCTAAGCTGCAACACCACCCAACTGACCTCCTGCGCCTCGGGCACCTTGGCGAACAGACTCCCGCCGTCGGCGTAGACCGTGCCAACCCACTCGTTTGTGGCTTGCCCCCAGCCGCGAAGCTCAGTGGACATCCTCGGCGGAAGCTGACTGGCAGTAGGTTCGACAGGGATGCACAGCGCCAACTCGAGCGCGTCGTAGTCGGGGCCGTCGCGCACGAGGGCGTTGCATCTGAGCCGCCCCCGCGTGGCCTGCGTCGGCAATTGACATTCCGCGTAAAGCCAGGGCACTGACACCACCTGCGACCGTGAGTCTCGTGCTCAGCCCCGCAGCACTGGCACGCAGCATCCTGGGTCAGACCTCGCTCGCGCCGCTGAGCACGGAGCCGCGTCGCACCTGCCCGCAGACACGGCAGGGCGCCACGCTGCTTGGCACTGTGGACTGCGCCCTTGCCCTTGAGGGTCGCCCGCGTGGCTCGGACCGAAAGCTGCTCTCCATTCCACTGCGGGTGATGCGCTTGCACCTGCTGCGCTTGCCACCACTGCGCGCCTTGGCACAGGGGGCACTCAACAACCTTCGGGCTGCTTGTGCGCGGGCAGATGCTGTTCAAGCTCGCCCCGCACTCCGTGCGCCGACACCATGCGCCAATCCAGCCTGTGCAAGTTCAGCCACGCCGCTGCGATCAGTCCTCGGGCATTGGACCAGCTGGCTTTGGCGCTCAGCTCCCCGTCGATGACGTGCCGCGCTGCTTGCAGGAAACAGATAGTTCAGCATGAGCCTCCCAGGGCCATCTCGCGAGCTGCACTATCACCGCCTGGCTGGCCATGAAGATTGGGTCGAAGTTCACCTGCGGCTGCGTCGCGAGGGCCAGCGCGAGGCTCGCTGTTGGTCGCGCACCCGCAAGAACCCCAGCAGCCGCCGTCGCCTGCTTCATGGCCTCGGTGGAGATCCCGCTGACGGCAGCCCCATGCAGCGCCATCGGGGCCGAGCCCGTAAGCTGAAGCGTGCCGATCGTGCGCCCTGCGGTCTGGGCGAGCCTCACGAGGCGCCTCTTGCGGTCCCTCAGCAGCACATTCAAACGGGCCCGCTCCTGATGCCGCTTCGGGCGCATCGCGCGCAGCTCGTTGCCCAAACTCCGCATCCAGGGCTGGAACTACACCTGGATCTTCGCCGCGACCAAGGCGAACAATCGCTTGAGACGAGCCGCGGTAGCGACGAAGTCCATCTTTTTCGGCTGCAAGGGTAATCCGAGATCCACCAGGTCTTGCATGGGCGCCTGAGATGCCTAAGCCATGGCACGCAGGTCGCCATCCTCGCAGCAGATCTCCTGGACTCTGGCGTCGTCCACCAACTGGCGCGGTCGCGCGCTGTTGGCAGGGCCGCTGACTCTAATCACCGCCCGCTTCCTGAGAACAACGAGCGCCGCGGTGGCACGCGTGCATCCAGCAATGACTCCTTGGCCACGCCGATAGGCCTCCGACACGTTGCCAAGAGCCTGAACCCTCAAAGGCTGCTGGTACGCGCAGATCATCATCCAGACCAACCGCGGCGGGGATCCCACAGGCACGCCCTTGAACATCAGGATGGGCGGGCAAGCTATCTCGCAGCACTTCCAGATGTCGATGCGCAGCGTCATCGAGCCGTGCCCAGGGGCCTTGGCGACCTCTGATGCCAGGTTGTGGTCGAAGGCTCAGTCCACGGAGCTATACCCCTTGCGCGTGCCCCGCGCGCGGCTGGTGCCCGCCTC